GAATCAATTGTTAAATAGTAGTCCTCATATGAACGATATCCAGACTTATAGGTCCACTTTATTACTTGTTACGATCCGGACACTTGAGGAATATAAATATCACATTTAATTATTTAACACCTTATCAATTAATTCCAACAGGTTGGAGTAGGAAATTTGTAATCCTTAAACATGTGGGATGCTCGCAACAATAACTACAGCTTGCACTACTAAATGATATACGATATGAAGAAACCTTTAGTTTTCAGGGTGCCATGAAGCGATATTGTAAAAGATGAGTTATAGTGTAGCTATTGACTAAGCAATTTCTATTAGTTTTGACAACAATAGATGATGAAATGTGATGATAGTGAATTTTTACTCTTTCGAGGCTCAGCTAAACAAGCTCTTATTCCTTGTTCGGTCTTTCTTCTTATATAATTCATCATACATCCCATGCAGCCTTAAAAATATTGCTATATACTGTTAACTACAATGTTAATATGATTTTAAGTAGACCAGATACAAGCAACAAAATGGCAGCTTCTTTTTTGATCAGCCTATCAAAATTACTGAATTTTCTACAGTTGAATCTCTCTGCTTGATGAAACTGTCCTAAATAGCATGAAATCAAAATCTATATCCTTGTTTTATATCCACAATATGAGAACCAAACACGTAAACAGAACGAAAAAAAAATTACATACCACCAAGAAAAAATTTGAGATGAACGAAAATCAAACGTAAAAGCTCCAACCACTGGATTTTTAGAGCTTTCTGTGCTCAATTTCAGGTGACAAATGCATCTGAATTAGACATTTGCTTGTCTTGTGATGATAGAATTGCAATTGTATTGACATTCCAACACTCATCACTCTTCATTTCTTCTCCATAAAACCATTCCTCTTCTTTCTTGGGCTCAGATTTACCAGTATCTGAACATGCAATGGAAACTTTTCTCCATTTCCAACACATTTTCAGCATTACGTAAAGCAAACCCAAGCATATCAATGTGGATGAAAAGACAATGGCCACTATGATTCCTGCAACTGATGATCCTGATAGCCAGTTTCTTTCGTGTCGTGTTGATTCCGAACAGTATGCTAATGGTGGGCCGTATAGCATTCTTTTACCCTGAAAAGTGCTTAGTGAGAACCCTGAAAAGGTTGAAGGAAGCTGACCTTTCAGATGACTGCTTGACAGGTTTAGCCTGTCGAGACTTGATAATTTTCCAAGTGAAGGTGGGGCTTTTCCGTCAAGTTGATTCAATGAAAGGTTCAATCTTTCTAATTTCTCGAGATTTCCAAGAGATGAAGGGATTTCACCGGAAAGTTGATTGAAACTCAGGTCTAAGATTACTTGTAGTTCACTTGAGTGTGCCTATCTCAAGTCAAAAGATAGTTGTTGTACCGGTAAATTTTTGTCATTCTGAAGACTTCTCTTTAACGAGTGCGAGATATTCACCTCTCGACCTAACTAAACACTAGTTATGTTTGTATTTCTTTCCTCAAACATTTTTAGGGAGCTTCAACTGGAGGAAATCGTTGAAAAACCAAATAAGAATGTTAGGGATCTTTACACTTCAAGAAAACATTACACGCATGTGTGTGGAGGCAAGATGACAAGATACACTTATCTAAGAGAGTAAAGGATCATTCTACCACTATAAATTTTTTCCTTAACAATGCAAATTTGGTTATTATTCCTATTTGTAAAAATCCTAAGTTGAACCATAGAAAGAAAATTTTAAATAGTGATCAAAAGCTTATCAGCATGACAGGAGAAATCATAGTCAATTTAATAAGAACCAAATACATCTTTCACAAAATCAATGTGTCAAAATTTGTTCTATATGTGGCAAAAGTGATCACATTATTCGAATTTTCCAATTCTAGAAACGTGAACTTATACTCCAGGCGAACATTGCTAACTCTATAGAAGAACCAATTGTGGTTATGATAATTAGTATCAAATTACATTAATATAATTCAAATAAAATTTAGAGTTACCTAAAACCTTTCAAACCTTAAATACAAGAATAGTCTAACCTCGAATTACTTTTAGAACAAAAGCTTGGGAAGTGGAGATAGGGATGTCAACGAGTCGAGTCGAAACTTGAAGCTCGAGCTCGGCTCATGTAAAAATGATTCGGGTTTTTTTGGCTTGAGCCGAGCCAAGCTTTTACTCAGTGAATGAATCTAGGCTCGACGTGAGCTTTCAACTCAGGCCTTGTCGAGCCAAGCTGAGCCAGCTTAGGATTATTATTTTTTTGTTTAAAAAAACAAGGTAGCAGGCAGCAGTAATACTCGGAGGAGACGGGGAAAGAGTTGGATTCAACTTGGAGAAAGATGAAGCAGTGTATGATGGGTTGGTTTTTACTACGAACAAATTTTGTATTGTATATACCTGGGATGCACGCAAGGTAGTTGTACAGTATCAGACTATACCAACGAATTTATACGGTTAGCAAAGCAAAACATTTGTCAGAATCCAAAAATTAGAGGATAGCCAGGTATACCGGTGGTTTAAATTTGGCTATTCAAGATAGAATTGGGTTACAGAATATTTGAACATTGAAGGAAGCCATTAACATGGAGACGAAGGCTGAGGTGATGGAATCTGATAAGAGGGTGACCACTTACAGAATAGTTCCCTACCTATCGAACCATCACCGTCCATTCCTTTGAATAAAGGGAAGGACTTACTACAAACCCCATGAAACTCTAATAGAAGTAATATTGACAACAGAGGTCAAACTCGAGGCACACCTTAGTATGCAAACCCGTATGCTAGGCCTACAAGAGATATTTGTTATAGATGCTACAAACCTGGGTATCGTTCCAACAACTGCCTGAAAAGAAAGCAAGTCAATTTGGTGAAGACTGAGACAATGGACGAGGAAGAAGATACTTAGGTGAAAGATGAGTATGCAAGAATTGAGTTTGTTGTGGAGGAAGGTGTGGCAAGGCTCACTTTGGTATCGCAGCGGATCCTTACCGCCTAAGGAAGAGGAGCAGCGTTGCTACATATTCCGTTTGCTTTGTTCTATCAAAAATAATGTATACGAAGTTATTGCGGACAATGAAAGTTGTGAGAACTTTATATCAAAGAGTTTGGTGAATTTGTTGAAATTATCAACTACGAACCATCTTAAACCTTATTCTTTAGGTTGGGTGAAGAGAGGTCATTCTATTCATGTTGCTAAAAACTTGCAAAGTTCATTATATGTGATGTCATAGACATGGATGCCTGCCATATCCTATTGGTTCACCCATGGCAATTTGATGTGGATTCAACTCTCAAAGGGCATGATAATGTGGTACTCTTTTCATAGATCAATCATAAGATCGCTATGGTTAATCTCAAAGGGTGGAGAAGTCTACTCAACAACGAACTGAGAGTTTCATTGCTCTTACAAATAAAGAGAAGAATATTACAAAATCTGTAAGAGAATCTGATTGCTTTTATTCAATTGTGGTTAAAGGGCTTTTCACAGCAAATAAGGAAGACGTGAGTGTTCCATTTGAGGAAAAGAAATATTAACAGAATTTAAAGATTTGGTTTACGATGAATTATCGAACGAGTTACGTCATATGAGGAATATTCGGCACCAGATTGATTTAGTACCCGGGGCTAGCCTTCCAAATTTGCCTCATTACCGAATGAGTCCGAAGGAGAATGGGATTCTGAGGTAGCAAGTTGAGGAGCTGTTGAGGAAATGATTCATAAAGGAGAGTATGAGTCTGTGTACAGTACCTATACTCTTAGTACCAAAGAAGGATGTAAAGTGGCGTATGTGTATTGACAATCGTGCCATCAAGATAATAGTGAAGTATATGTTTCCCATTCCATAGTTGGAAGACATGTTAGATATGCTTGTGGGTTCTAAGGTCTTTTCAAAAATAAACCTTCGCAGTGGCTACTACTAGATTCGTATCAAACCTGGTAATGAATGAAGATTGCCTTCAAGAGTAAGGATTGACTGTATGAATGATTGGTTAAGCCATTCAAACTATCAAATGCTCTGAGTACCTTCATGAAAGTGATGAACCAGTTCTTTGTCTATTCATTGGGTCTTTTGTTGTGGTTTATTTCGATAATATATGCATTTACAACAAGTTCAAAGAGGATCACCTAGTTCAATTGATGTAAGTCTTAGTGTTTTGAAGGAAAATCAGTTGTACATCAACCTGAAGAAGTGCACTTCATGTACACATAAGCTATTGTTTCTACGTTTTGTGGTTGGTGAAAATGGTCTACATGTAGATGAAGAGAAGACAAGAGCAATTCAAGATTGGCCAAATTTTAACTTCATGATCTTGTTGATTATAGATAAATACTACTTTTAGTTTTGACGACTCGAAGATTGTTCTCTTTCTTTTTGAGTCAATAGGTGTTTCAGTAGCTATGACACACGGTAGATGGTGGTCGGGGAATTTTAGATTGATGTCCTTTATTTTTCCCTCTTTGTTGAAAGATAATAACACTTGTGCAGAATCTGGGAAGAGTTCTTTGTCCCATGG